GGCGCAGCACTCTGTGACCCTCGATGTACATCGATGTACAGATTTCGTGGCAGGTGCAGCACTTTTTGTGAACCTCGAAGTGCAGATTTCGTGACAGGTACAGGAGTTTGTCAACCTCGAAGTGCAGATTTCGTGGCAGGCGCAGCACTTGGTGAACCTCGAAGTGCAGATTTCGTGGCAGGCGCAGCACTTGGTGAACCTTGAGGTGCAGATTTCGTGACAGGTGCAGCACGTTGTGATCCTCGAAGTGCAGATATCGTGGCAGGCACAGCAATTGGTGAACCTCGAAGTGCAGATTCCGTAGCAGGCACAGCACTTTGCGAACCTCGAAGTGCAGATTTCGTGGCAGGCACAGTGCATGGTGAACCTCGAAGTGCAGATTTCGTGGCAGGTACAGTGTACAGCGCTTGGTGAACCTCGAAGTGCAGATTTCGCGCGCCTGCCACTACTTTGTGCTCTCAGATGCTCACTCTCTCACTCTCAACACCACACCACGTAGGGGGGGGTAACCTACAACTATCCCCCCCCCCGAAAATGTAACTTACATTTTTTGAGGTCCCCCCATTTTTGAGGGTTAAGGGGGTGGGGATCTTACAACGTAGCAAGATCACAATAGCGGTGCGAGCGAAGGCGAGCGGCGGCTTTTGCATCGCACAATCAGTACCTTGAGCCAAATGTAATGGCCGGTTCATATGCATTGCGTATCTTACATCCGGGTGGGTTGGGGTGGGGGGTGGGGTGGGGGGAGATCTAATGGAATGATTGGCCCACGGCCACATCATCACACCTGAGAAGCTGCAAAACGAAAGCCAGCGCTTCCCTTTCTCGACAACTGCGCGTCGAAGCAATCAAATGAGCTCGCGCAGCCGCTTGCGGCCGCGTGTCAAATCTGCTTCATGTCTTGTTCTGCCCACGCATAGGTAACCATGCAAAAGCAAAAAATGCACTCTTGCATCACCACCCGCTCCAAAATCACTAAAACATCACCTCCAAGAGTTTACGTATACCTTTCTCGGGCCACCCCCCCCGACCCCCGACCGACTTCACACATACTTAAAGGTCCACCGTGGTTAGTAAACACTTAGCATACATACTAATCATATACAACACATACGAAAACACTTAGCGCACTTAGCTATGTGCACTTAGAACAGTTAGTAAGTGTCCTAAGTGTTTCCCCAAAAGGGTTCCAACCCTGTGTGAGCCGCTCTTCCCTCCTGGGCACGGCAGCTGCTGGCGTCACCTGCGAGGGGACAGTGCATGTCAGATATGATCCCCTGAACGCGTTGACTGCATGTCATGTGGGCCTCATGAACGTGTTCGTGCATGTCATGTGGGCCTCGTGACCATGTTGACTGCATGTCATGTGAGCCCCATGAACATGTTGACAGCTTGACGCAGAAACCCTATTTTCACCAGATCACGAGCGCTCCCCCTTCCTTGATGCTGTACATGCACGTGTCTGTGACAGATGCTAGAGGCACAAGTTGGCAGTTGTCGACCACTCTGTACAGAGACTTCGCCACATGCTCCCACACGTCGAGGCATGCCATGCATGTGTCCTCAATCTGGCAGAGCCACTTGACAGAGCCAACGTGTTTGCGGTCGACCCTGGCCTCAAGGAAGACCACTACATCGCCAACTGCCACCTCAGAAGAGCCGCCCGTGATGCCCCTTCGTGAAGACTTGACATCAACATTTGCAGGAAGCTGAAGGGCCATCGAAATCATGTCAGAGATCTTTGATGAAGCCGGCTGCGCTTCCAACAAACATGGCCACGCGCGTGGAATCGAAACCTCGTCATCCATCATCTCGAACTGTCTCAGAGTCGTGTCCTGCATGACGCTCTTTTCAAATGACCGGGCAGGGTTGTTCACTTGGTTCACTATGCGCTTCACCATGCGGTGCTTCCTCTCCTGGCAGAAGCATGCCAGGAGCATTTGATGTTTTCTCCACATGGACGGTAAATGCAAGCAGCTGTGAAACTTTGGCGTCCAGTATTCCAATCCATGACTGCTCTGGAAGGTAGACAAGTGAAGTTGTATCTCCCGGGCAAACTTTGAAATGCAGGACCTTGGTGAGATCCAAAGTACAGTGGAAAGGGAAATCATATATAAAGAGTATATGTTATAGGTTAATGAACCTTCATGACATGTCATGACATGTAAACTCATGAGTACTACGCAAGTTCATGCGCAAAACATGGCATGAAAACTCATATAAACACATCCCATGTCCATGAACAAAGACATGGCATGAAAACTCACAAAAGTTACATTAGTGGCAACTGAGGTTGGATTAATGCCATCTGGGGCTGAAAGCTCCACTACCAACCATGCCACAGGAACCGTGTCACCATGCATGGCCACAGTGAAAACAGCAAAGCAGCTCTCAATGTTTGCAAAAATTGGCTCAAGAGAAAGCAGCTCTCAACGTTTGCAAAGCACTTTTCTGGAAAGCACTTTTTTGGAAGATGCTCCGGTTTCTTTCTGTATAAGAGTACGCCGACCACCAAACTCCACTGTTTGGAAACCTAACATGAAAACTGTTTTGTGCCATCATCACCTTTGAGCGCCTGCCTGCCTATCTTTATGGCTTCATGTGTACATATGTGTACATACCGTTGTCTTCAGTTTGTACAATGATACATTTCCAGGATATATACAAACAAGAGGAGCACATGACAATCACAGACAGAGGTAGGTAGAATAGAATAAGTGGAATAGGTAGGATAGAATATATATATATAGGTCGAATAGTAGAACCGCCCACCGCATCCCCCCTGGCAATGGCTGTAAAGGCCAGTCACCACCTTAGAGCCGTTGGCGAGCTTGGGCGCACGCCATCTCTTGTAGGTTGGAGGCCATCTGTAGGTTGGAGACCATTTGTAGGTTGGAGGCCATCGATAGATTGGAGGCCAATAGATTGGAGGCCATCAATAAGTTGGTGGCCATCGACAGGTTGGAGGCCATTGATGTAGGCTGGAGGCCATTGCTATTGGACACCTTGCTATTAGGTTGGAGGCCATCGCTGGCCATGCCTCTTAAAGTTGAGGCCATCGATAGCAGAGGCCATCAAAGTTGAGTGTGGAGGCCATGGCTTCTAGGTTGGAGGCTTCACAAAGCTTACTTAGGCCATGGCGTGCCTGCTTCCTCCTTCTGTGAAGGTGCGGCCTCAGACCGGGGGTGAAGGAGGCAGGGTGCCAGGCAACCCAAAACCCATGGTTCCCGATTCACAGGTAACCCATGTTCCAACTCAGGCATCTTTTCAAACAAGCATAAGCCAATCCCCTTGGCAAAGCTTCCCAAACTAACTCGCAGTGCCAGAATCCATTTCGTTGAACACAACATGAGATCCGCCCAAACAAGACAAAACTTTAAAACATTGTTCAAACACATACTCGGGCGCATCAATTATGGGTACACATCAATCACTTCTGGACGCCAGCACGGCTGGCCAAGTAATTGGCACGGGTGTCGCTTTCCATCCAAGCTTTGATGGCAGCAACACGTCGGTCATTTGATGCGGCCATTCCGCATGTTTTAATCCACTCAGAAATGAACTTGTCCTTTGCCTGGGTCAGGGTGAGGGGTCGCTCACGGTTGGAATCACCACCACCAACATCATGATGAGGTCCAACATCACCATCATGAGGTTCTTGTGGGGCCGCCTCCCTGCGAACCCCTTTCTTCACCCATGTTTTGTGCCAAGCGCGACTGTTCTCACGGTGCTTGTCGCTGGTCTTGTATGATGTTGCTTTTTCGCCAGGTTCATCATCCAGATCATTGGTTGCATCAGGCTCGGCATCCGGTTGAGCTGGTTGACTGGGAGGAACAACTGGCTCAGGAACAGGTGGCGCAGGAATCCAGTCGTTGCTCAAATCTGTGCGATCGTGCAAATACTTTCGGACAAACTCACCGCTAGGGGGAGGAGGAGCGTCATCCACCAAAGCACCAGCATCAAAAAGCCTTTTCCGCACAAGAACACCTGGCTCGGGATCAACTGGAGCGGGATCACCCAAAGCAGCATTGAGCCTTTCACTCAATTCAAGGCTGTCAGCCTCATCAATCTCTGTGGCCCGTGAATCCATGGGAACAGGAGATGGTGGGCCGCAACGTCCATGAGGACTTGGAGTTGCTGGCTTCCTGAGCAATGTTCAAGCTTGCCCCCATGCACAAAACCAATCACTGGTGTGGTTTTTATACGGACCAGATTCCAATACCCATTCTAAACCCAATTTTGGATCAGATTCCCCTATGCGCCATAATTTCCTCTGAGGCTCTCCAGCCTCCACTGAGAATCAATCTGCGGCGATGGGAGTTGGTCATCCGGCTCTGTCTCCACAGGTGGAGCGTTTCCAGCTGGACCACTCTTCACAAGGCAGAGGCTTTGCGACCGGGGCCGGTTCATGTCATGGATCACTTGAAACTTCTGTGGGGACTTCACGCGAGCCCTCTTGTGGAAGAGGCCATTGGATTGTTGCCCAGGTTCATACTCCATCAACTCATCATCAACTACTATTTGGGTCATCTGGGATGTCGTCATGCCGACAAACAACGCTAGAGTCAGGAGCAAAACCAATCTTGAACAAGTTGCTGCAGAATCACATATACATGGTATACCTCAGGGCCCTTTTTGTTAGAAGATAAGACTTGTGGTAGAAGAACTGGTGGGCAGTTTGTTGAGTTGATGCATAGGGGCTGCAAACACATTTTTGACCACCAAAGATCACGGATGCCTCACTTCAGGCAGTGAGGCGCTCGATGCATAGCATCCATCCCCATGACGCATTTCCAAACAAGTGTGGAAGGATAAACAAACAAACTATATGTTGAGCTTGTGGTTTTCACCATGGAAATGCTGGTCCCTCTCGATTGGTTGGCACCTGATTGCCAACACTGGACTGGCCCCCAAAAGCATGTTCCTGTCTTTTTCTTCTAATACTTCAAAACATTTCATGTGTTCAACCATGATGGAACTGCGGGGTCCAAATCAATGAACTAGATGATTCGCTGGCAGCCATCCTTCACCAGCTTCAAGTCCACTGGCAAATACCAAAGTGGCTTTGCCGCTGCCACAATTCGCTCCGAAGGGTAGAATCTGAATCGCCAAACCTTGGTGTAGGATATGTTGGGCTGGCAATTGAATATTAATGATTGGAGATATGTGTATGGAAACTCTCAACGGGTTTGACTTTAATACCGGGGTCCAACAAGAAAAATCTCACCAGGGAACCAACTGCAGTGGTGATTTGTCCAGCATTGAGTAGGCAAAGTGGGATGCAATGTTTGTCCCCTTGAGATTCTTCGCTTGGATCGCCTGCGGACGCCACAGAAGCGTCTCATCAGGCTTCAGCTCAAAGAAGTCTGTGGTGGAGGTGCCTTGCTGGACGGATGGTGGTCGGCTGCAAGTGTGACCACCAACAGAGTAGTCAACATGCCCTTTCCGCTCTAGGGTTTGCAGCATCAAGCGGATGGTCGTGATTGGGCCATCAGATCCAGCATCCTGGGGCATGTCTCACTAAAGACAACAGAATACATATCAGGCTACCTTGCTTAGTTACATCCTTTTTTTGAACTTGAGGAACCAGTTAGTCTTTTTGGAAGATGTTCTTTGACAAAGCCAGCGCCTCGAATACTGCAGGGAGTTCATCGGACTCAAGACGACAGGGAACTCCACGGTCCGGAGAATTGGTGACAAACTTGGTGGCTTTGTCACCTGTCAACCAGGACCCCGCCCCATGACTGATGACTGCGCCTTCCAATGCTTTCAAATGAAGCGGTTCTTTCGCCACCACATACAACTGCGGTCCAGGTGCCAGGTAGAAGGATGATGTAGGGGTCATCCCGACCATCTCACTGAGCTCGCCCTCCGCAAACTTGCCCTTGAGTTGAGACAAGGTGGTAGGACATCCCGGAAATGCAGTTTCCCACTTGAAGGCAGACTCATCGACCTTCATCTTGATCTTGACCTCTTCCTTCTTGACAGGTGAAGGAAGGGGAGCAGGCGAACCTCCAGGAGCGCCATTTTCTCCGGCCGGTGTTGGTGTTGCCACCGCAATGCCCCAGTCCTTGTCAAATTGTTTGACAATGCCACGCCACTCTGGCCCAAACAATGGGCACTGCATGAAATGCGTCCTCACGTCAGTGGGAATTTGCAGCCGACTGCCATCAACCAGCTGGCAAAGTTTGAGAGCAGGTGGTTCTGGATTCTTTGGTAGATCATCGCTGGCAGCATTGGGTTTGTACTTCAGCTGCTGCTTGTCCATTGGGGCCTGCCCTTGCTTCCATGCCTGAGGGACCCAAAGAACACTATCAAGAACAGTTCATGAAAAATCATAGTTCAAGGAAGGTAGGAGATCACAAACGCTGGACTGGAATGTAACACCATATAACAACACTGGAGTATGGTTGAACTGGTGAGCCAATCCTGAATCAAGAAGTTCTTGACATGGTCTTTCGCACTTTTGTAGTTCATCTCAAGGGTGCTGCTTCCCATGACCCACATTCCATGATGGATCGCGGCCAACTCCACGCAGCCATCGTATGCCGTTGGATGAATGACCACTTGGCCAAAGCTGCCCTTCACACCACCTGGGTAGGCGTTTTATGGTTGATCAGGAGATCTATTTTTGTAACTAACTAACAACTACTTGGCATTGAGTCCATGAAGCCAAACACAATAAATATAGTGAATTGGGCATAGTCGGGCTACTCATGAGCGACTTGAGCACAGCCCGTGGCACACCAATGCCCCCCAACCATTGAGAGGTCTCCTGTAGGTCGGTGAGGTTGCGTCGCTCCTGGTGACTCAATAGTGAGTCAGACGGCACCACAAACTCCTTTTCTTGGATGGCCGCAGGAAAGTCTTGCAGCACCTGCCGTTGCCATAAGGAAGAGGTGCAGAACCTGGCGGGGACATGGAGCGCCGCGGGACATGGAGTTTCCCTGAACCAAAGCAAATCCAAATCAAGATAATAGATATGAATAGTTTTTTCAATATAAGGATTGTGGAGTAAGGGCTGGCATATGTTGACAACTGTCAGACAAGGAGCACGTTCACCTGGCTTTCAGCCTCGGGTGCGCCGCGGACTGTTCGGTGAGCGACCCCACGCTGCGGTAGGGTGTGGTCAGCAACTCCCAAGTAGCACAAGAATGCACCAGGTAGCTCTCTGTTCTGATGCAGCTGCTCCAGGCAGAGGTTCAGGGTCCATGGCCTCAACTCCACCTTGTGACATAGTAGTTTGTCCTCCAAACGCCTGTCAACGGATTGATTGATGATCCAAACTTAAACCCTGTCGATTGAGATGACTTGAGATTATATACAGCAATTGGTACTGTGATGCACTAACCGGCATGAATCGTGTACGTAAGCCTTTTGGTTAACTTCTTGCCTCATATCTCGACGAAGGGAACCTCCAGCATCTGTTCCAATCAGGAGCGGAGGGATCAAGACCATGACATTGCCTTAGACTCAATGACCCCATGGTTGGAAGGACCCCTTGGTTGATTTGGAACACATGGTTCAACACATGGAACATTATTTTCTGTAGTGAACATATCCAAGTAACAAGATGGGTTTTTGAAGAGCACGCGCTCTGCAAGCTCACCCACAGCATTGATGGTGGTTTGACTCAGCACTCCCAACTTCGTGCAGTCCACATACAAGATGCTGTCCAGCTCATGCGCAGAGACCTGGAAGGGTTTTAGCAAACATGAGCGAACAACATGTATGTGTATGTTTCTTTGAGTGCATATTCCCTCCCCGTACCAATTCATTTTCTTGGTAACGCTTTGTGTGTGTGTTGTGGTTTAGGCCTTGTGGTGTGCAGCAGCAGCACGAACCATGGAGTCCATGCTTGGATCTACCCAACCCTTGTCGCAAAGTAATGAGACCCGGCAGCATCGCTCCATATAGGTCTCACAGAGCCTGGTGAATGGTTGGTTGGATGGGGATGGATGGAATGATGACTAACAAATATAAACAAAACGCACACAACAAATAGCAAAACAAACCATTACATAATTCATGCCTAGTGGCTCCTTGCCAGCCTCAACCTGGCTCTTCTCGTGCATAACCTTCACAACATGGGATCTTCGGCTTGCGTCCTCTTTGGCGCTGTTGAACTCGCACATGCTCGCGACATCAGCTGCCAACTTGGTGCGAACTTCACGAAATCTGGCAGCTTGAGCTTCATCTTCCAGCTCCATCAATTCGCTGGCACTGGCCACTTTGACAGGTGTCGCCGGAGGTTCAATGATGTCAACCCAAATGCCTAGATGTTGAGGCTTCCAGGTTGACAATCGTGCCACAACGGAGGCCTCGATCTCTTGCATGTAGTCCCTGAACAGGGTGAGAGATAGACAAACAAAGAGCAAGAAGAAACCAACAACAACAACAACGACAACGACAACAAGCGCAGCCCAAAGAACAGGAACAACATACAAACCCTCAAAAGCTATCAATCCATACATGTCTTTAATTGCAAACCATCAAAACTTCTTTTGCGCCACCTCTGGTAGAAGGCTTTCAGCACTGCAGCTTCCTTTTCAGGGGTCCAAGTGCTCAATTGACGCCCCTCATCCAGGAGAAAGGAGTAGATGCATGCCACATCACAGTGAGAATCGAATGCTGAGCCTGACCATCGTGCTCTCGCCCTTGAGCTTGCCCTCAAGCGTCTGCCACTCTCAGTGTAGCAATGGATGACCAAACGAAAGTGCATCGTTTGGGACTGCTCCGTCACTGTCAAGGCGCGCTTGAGATCGCCAGAGCAGTTCTTGGGCATAGTGCCCACCATCCAGCGTTGTCCCTTCAGCTGCTCCGTCGAGAAGGCGCAAAGGGACCATTTGACATGGTCAGTATGCTTCTGGAGCACTTCCCGAGGTTCCTGAAACCAAGCAACAAACACAAAAAGAAAACAACAAAGAAAGATACACAACAGAAATCAGACCAACAACAAATATACAACAAGACCAGCAACCTATAAAACAAACAGACAAACAAACCAAAATTTTCTGCATTATATAAAGTAGGAAAATTATACACGGTTGATTTTGTAGCAAGGTACAGGGCAGGTTCCTGCAATCATGTTGTAGACACTGCGGAACTTCTCCTCATCCAAGCGGTGCTTGGCGCTCAGGCCAGGTGAACTGTGGAATTCTGACACCACAGAGCGAAGACGTTCTTCTGTGCTGGCTGATGGCATGTGGAGACCCTCATGAGAACGCTGCTCCATAATTCTTGAGAATCTCAATGCCAATTGCAGGCAATTTGGACTCTGTCGCTCTGAACCACGGTAGGACAATGTCAGGTTCCGATATGATCGATGGGCCATATCCATATCGAAGCTCATCTTAGTTTGTTTGAACATCAAAGCCTAAACTTCCTTCAATGATGAAATACAGGGCCTAACAGGCAAGAGAAACAGACACAGTGGAAGGCAAATCAGATCAAAAGTTGGGACAAACACACCAAGCGACATGGCAGGGAATCATCCAGCATCTGTCCAGAACCTTGTGGAGGGGTTTTAACTTCTCAGCTGTGGCAGCCTCTTGCAAATCCAGCTCGCTCGCCGCAAGCAAGAAGGTCATCACAACGCTCGCCCGTGTCCAGCCCTTCACAATATCCAATGCCTGTTCGTCTACTGACCAGCTGACTCCTGCTGAGGGGAAGCTTTTGTAAGAAACGCAAAAGCAACACCCAAAAAACATATGAGCGAGACTGCAAAAGGAAATAGGGCCAACTACACTGCAGTTGGCCCTATTTATTTGGCAACAGCACCAAACATGTTGGACTGCTTTAGCATCCAACCTTGGCACTGCGAAGAGACATCGATGGGCTCGCGGCCAAGGTCGATCCCCCCGAACAACATCGATTCAGCAGTCTGTACCCAGTCTGCAATGACAGGTAGGCCATCATCTGGTTTCTCAAACCTGGTGAACAAATTGAAAAACGGTTGGGGACATATGGGATACATGACTACATGATTTAGTAAACAAAGTGTTTTCAGTAACCTGCATCATTTTTTAAATAATTGTTTGAACTCAAGCCTCAGGGCAGTGATCGGGAGCTTCACGGTCTCATCTGCCATTGAGGGGTCCAAGACCTGACTAGTGTGTGTGTGTGTGTGTTTGTGAAAATCCCATGGTACAAAAACTAAGAGTCAAACATTACAAAGAAAACAACATCACATGTGTGTTCTTCCCATACAGCCTCAAAGAAACCACCCAAGCATACCACACATAGAGTGAAAAAATGTTTCATGTTGGGAAAGGACAAGAAACTTGGCTGACAGGTTTGTAGAGATATGGCATGCCTCGCATCTGCGCGTACTCTTTGTACCAACTGTCTAGGTGCTGGCAGCGAAGCTTCACATCACCTTCACTCAGCAGCTCTTGCACCAGCGAGGCTGGATGAAAACCATCATCGTTGTTTCCACCATCGGTCTTGAACGATGCGATGTACTCATAAATCTCCTTTGTGTGTTTCCACAACACATTATTTTAATATGGATGTGTGTGTGTATTTATTTATGTCTTGAACATGTATGTATCTATAGGTGCCTGCGTGAACATGTATGTTGTATAGATTGCATGATGAGAAGGGCCCAAAGTAACATATGTTACGCGCATCCCATTTTGACATCCAGATGAGTCCTTCACCAAGCTGACATCCCCATCCATAGCCTGGATCTGCTTGTCATATGCAGAGCATTGCCGCTTGGCAGGTGGATCACTTTTGGGCGCGTCAGGCGCCGGGGCCTTGGCCCGCTCTTCTGCCTTGGCCTTGAAGGGCTGGAGCTGGGAAGTCGCCATGACAGGTCAGTGTCAGGTACGGACACTCTGAGCCAACAAAACCTATGGGAGAGCTCAATGAGTCCATCGAATTTAACTTCCAGATTCCAACTTAAGATCAATGTACCGTGAGCCTCACAGTGCATCGAAACACCTGGTTTGGCAGCTGCGCGTTCAATTCCAAAATTGGGAACCCAACATAGAAATTGAACCATGCCCTCAAAGTATATGGTTTTCAATGTACCGTGAGCCTCACACTCCATCGAAACATATGTTGGGGTAGCAAAGTCAGATCAATGCAGTTGGTGAGCTTTGGCTGGTGATTCCAATGTATCGTGAGCCTCACAATACATCGAAAAACTAACGCATCCACTTGAAGAGACTTGGGCTTCCCAGCCAAACCAGGCCCAGGAAAGGACACCTGGGCGGCGCTGCGGGATGCGCCGGACCAGGTTTTCAATGGACCGTGAGCCTCACACTCCATCGAAACATGTGCGGGGAACCCAGCTGGTGCATCGATCATGGGGTAGTTGAACCTTCAGGTGCATCGAAAACCAAAGACTGACACCAGAGGTGCATCGAAAACCTGCCACACCCCTGTTCCAAGTAGATCGAAAACCTGCCACCACCACCCCCCAGGTGCATCGAAACCCATGGACAGGTGTTTGTCCTACCTGCTGGGATGATTTCTTTTTGTTTTTCCTTTATCAAAAAAATATGCAGTGCTAGGCATGACTGGGACATTTAGTTTCCTTGTCTTTGCTCTGTGGGGTTGGAGCTCTGTGGGTGGGGCCGGTGTTCATTATTTAAATCCTCTTCCGGGCCCCATCTAGCCAGTGATCCCGAAAGCCATGTCTACAGCTGCCTGGTTAGTGCGGCTCCTGCTTCCTGAAATGGTCGTTTTGTTGGGTCTGTGCACACTCAATAAGAACTAATGTAAGTATACATCGAACGCCATGCCACTGACTGGTAGGTGTGTTCCTCAAGCTTTCTCTTGGGCCCCCCTGAGACATCCAAACCATGCACACAAGGGTGCGCCTGCCACACATCTATCTTTGCATTTTTCTCTGTTGCCGGAAATCACTCTCTGCTGAAGACCGCCCTCAAAGGTACAGAGGGGGCCAGCATGTTGAGGACAGATTGATGCATAACAAAGGGTCTACCTGGGTCAGGATCTCCTGGCGGCTGGCTGTGCCATGGTAAGGGGTTCAACTGACTTGTCTGCCAGCTGGTGTTGGCACTCAAACCATTGAGATACTCAATTGCTCTTTGGTAACGATGGCCATATGCATAGCTCACTGCTGCAGCCAGCTTTTGCCACTCCCGTGCTGCAGCTAGAGTGTGGTTGTTAACCCGCCTGGGTTAACAAGAAATAGAACAAGAAATAGAACGGAAATAGAAACGGACGCGCAAATAAGTACATAAAAGGTTCACAACTTATGGATGATGGTTTTGCTTCATATGGAGGGCACCTGCCAAATGGACGCATTATGGAGGGAGACACCAGTCCCTTTCAACTGAATTGTTCTTTTTGAGATTGCAGCCGCACAAAGCAAATACCTCTGCATGTGGGGTGTTGTGGCAAAATGATACTGAAGCAGTGACAAAAGTTCTTTGTTGATGGGACCAGGCTAAATCCAGAAGCACGGGTTTCTGTCATCACCAATAGAGGGTCTTGCGACAGTGCATCATCTGACACGAACTTCTTCACAAAACAGATGATGTCCCGATCAGAAGGTTGAGATCGGGATGAGCCACGATTGATCTGCCGCGCTAAGGCTGCAGGCACATCTGGCAGGGATGAAGGCAGGATGGGCGGGTGGGTGGGATGGTTGATGGCCGTTAAGATTTACAACCAACCTGACAATTGAATTGGTTGTTCTTCGAACCTTGGCGTGGCATGCTCAAGAACAAATGGTTCGCAGACTCATCTTTCAGCAGGCCGCCCTCCAACTTGATCCCCAAGGATGGGAGATGCGAACGCCAGTCATGAGTGGAGTGTAGCTGCCTTACCTGAACCCTTGTAGTTGGGCCAACCCAATCACGGATGGTGGGCTTGCTCAATTCATGAGAGATGGCAGCAACCACATCATCCGTATTTTGCAAAGAAGATTCATGCGCCACCCTCCGACTGATAATGCCCCAAAGCTGGTCTGAGTTGGCAAGATTGGGTGGCAAAAGTCGTTGGACATGTAGGGCGACCAAAAAATATGAAATTCTCTAAACAACTTCAAGGTTCCTATCCTGCAGTGGGTGTGGCTCTTGCGTAAGAAGGCCAGTGAGCATTGCTTCAGGCGGCCATGGGCCACCAGTAAGTTCAAGTAGGTCATAAGGTACTGATTCTTACTCTCTCTGACAGTATTGTCTGCCTAGGGTTGGCTGGCTGGCTGGTAACTAGCAAAAGCCATCCCTCCCTCAATTGGTGTTGGTTGCTGCCCAGCCACATTGATAATCAATGCAGACGGTCTTTGCTTGGACTCTTCATCGCAGCGCTGCATTACCTGAGGTGGTTTTGGCGCAGAACAATCGCAACATAACCTTGTTGCATATGAAACATATCCCTTGGTTCTCGGATTACGCTCGGTTTGGCAAAAACCACTCATAAATCCCATAAGCCAAGAAGAGATGACCAGAGAAGGGACCCACCCAACGGCAGCAAGTTACATCCTCCAATGTAAGCGATATCATTTCTATGATTGCGCTGCTGTCGTGCTTTCCAACTTCATCAAGAATGAAGACATTCAAAAAGTGCCCGAAGGCCCAAGCACCATGGACCTTTACTCGAGGTCTCTCATGCTGCGCCCTCAGCTGTGGCAAGGTTGTGGCAGAACAGGAGGAACCTGGGAATGAATTATTTCCGGAGCAAATCTATGTTTACCATTGCAAAGCCACTAAACCCCATTATTGAATAGCTTTATCAGCAGGTGGATAAATACCATATGGTGAAAACTCCAACACTTTGCAAGACCAAAACGCACTGCCGCATTGCAACGTAGGTCTGGGTGCCGGGGCAAAGCAAATTTGGCTTGATCAAGACCATCCGTAGATATGAACAATACCCCAGATTCGGAGTCAGTGGAATGGCTTTGAAGCTGCCAGAGAGTAGTGCGATCTCGGTACTGAGAATGCAAATGAAATCGGTACTGTTGCAGGACTTCCACTTTGGACTCCAGCCCAAGACCTTTGTCCCCCAATTGCTGTTTGAGGACGCTACACACCTCACAGGTTGTGAAAAGACTCTGCTGCCGGAAACGCAAGATGTCCTGCCACCGCCGCTTGTAAACATCGTTGAGTGTTCCATACCTAAATTTGGCCATGGGATCCATGAATATGGTTGGTAACCACCGCAGTTAAACCTGTTGTTTTAGGACTCATGATACATATATATATATACATATTATGTGTATTTATTACTGTCTATTTATTTATGTGTAGTATATGATACGCAAAAGCAATGCCAACATAGAGCCCAGGAACGACACAGAATGACAGCCCAGCATAGCTTGGGTGGATTTGTAATGTTCATACAGGTCCATTACAGTACCCGGGGCCAGATACTTTCGAACCAGCTGCTTGTGCGGCAACAAGATTGATTTGCAGTTTTGAGTGGTCAACCATTCACGAAGCTCCTCCTTGTTTTCCACATCTGATGCTATTTCCTCCCAGTCACTTGGTACCTCATCATCTAGGTCACGTTTTCGGTGTGAAGCGCGTCCTCTGCGGACGAACCTGGACACCCAAGGTTATTGAGATGTGAGATCATAGTTTTTGTAAGGGAAACAAAGCAGGTGGGTCGG